TGTTGTCATTTCCCTTATTTCCTTATGCATATTGCGGTAGTCGTACTTCACTTCATATTGTTCTATCTTGTCACATTTTTCAGAGAACCATTTTTTCTTTGCCTCTCTAATGTTTTTCCTTATGTTTTTGTGGTTTTCACGGTACTTTCTGTTGTTTTACCTTTGTGTTTCCGTCTTTCGTCCATCATGTCGAGGATATCTTGTATCATCCACTCTTGTTTTTTGTTTTTATCCTTTCGCAAATATTTTTCACAATTTGCTTGTATAGAGTCTTTGAATTTATCCCATTTGTCTTGTACTTTACTCGTGTTATTGTTGATTTTCTTTAAATCGTTAGTCAGCGATTCCTGCACTTGTTTCCGAATATTTCTGTCGGACAGTTTTCCTATGTCTATGTTGTTCTTGGAGGGTGCCTTCTTGATTCGTTTCAATCTCAGTTCAAACCTACACACAACCGGAATGTGGTCTGAGGGGACGTCTGCCCCTGGATAGGTTTTTGCAGATGTTATTGAGTTTTTGAATCTTTTGGGTATAGCTATATAGTCGATTTGATTTCTAACTATTTTTTCCGCAGAGTCTGCTGGCGATTTCCACATGTAGATTCTGCGAGGGGGGAGTTTGAATATGGTGTTACTGTAGATGGTCTGTATGTACTGGTCAAAATCTTCTATCATCCGACTTTTACATGTCGCGAGTTGTCTTGGGGCGTTTGCTACTATTTCAACTTTTGCATGCTTAGGTATACCTTATTTGCTAGTAAACACACATAATCAGAGCAACCACCAAGATAAAAACACACTAACGGCTTGTTGCATAAGTAAATGTGAATCCACAACGACAATTATGAATTACATACATTTAATCATTACTAATAACATATATCTTATGTTGGAGAAATATCCAACTAATTCACACTAAAACGGAAACAAGGCAGCGACAAGGACCCTTGAGCGACTACGTGCTGCCCCTATGAGCTCTCCATCAGATCGGTTCTTCTTTTTAAACAAACCAACACTACTTCACACTTAACTTCGGCACAAAATACGTTTCCAATTACGCGTACCTACTTTGTTCGCATTTCCAATCGTCCAGTTGTTATTCGATCTACAATGCGTAGGCTGAGCCATCCAGCAATGTTATTGTTAAGGGCGGTCTTATGCATTCATTATAAAGCTTCATTTTCCCCTACAGATTGTTATACAGGGCACCACAATCGAAATGTTCCTTCAGGCGGTTCAAAGGGGAGAGAATTAATTGGTTTTGTTTGTTTTTATTCGGTTATATCAACTGCATATCATAAAGTTGAAGACCCAGGAATTTGAACTGTACACCGCTCCGCTTGATAATGCAATGAGAGTTATAAAAGTTTAAGCAGTTAATTAAGGCTGAGTAAATCATTCAGGTTGACTGCAACCGTTCATAATCGCAACTAGTGGAATTTCAAATTGGTAGCAATATTGTTAAAGTGGTTTGGAAGTTCTTTCTCAGCAAGAAAGTTATTAA